CGTCTGGGTGTCACATGCTCCCCTAGCATGGGGTATGCAGTGGGCCCTGGGCACACCTGGCGACGCTCGCCAGCCTTGCCCCCGTGCCCAGCAGAAGACAAAACTTCAATAGAGCCGCTGCTGGCCACGTTGGGCCCGCGCCTGTGCCGGGCAGACTGCAGGCTTGAGAGGCCGGAAATGCCAGTGCCCTGGCCACTGTTCCCAGCCCCCTTCTATTTCAGGGCTCAGTCCCAGGGGACGAGGAGGTCTTGCCCGCTGCACCACAGCTAATGACACCCTGGCCTGCCAGGCCATTTAAAAACAGCTTCACTATTTTTATCGGTAGGAGGTGGCTGGCCTGACCTCCTCAGACAGTGCCAACATGGGTGATTTTAAGGAAGCCAGGGCCCTGATAGGAAGACGGGTCATTCCTCAAATCACAGACTTCGATTGGGCAGGCTGTGCCCACGGAACCTTCCGGGGAGTGTCAGGCGTCACCTTCACCCAGTGGTCTGAATTTAGAGATAATTCTACCCTGCCTTGCCAGAAGGAGTCACTCAACCTCTCCACCCCAAATATTGCTCAGACCGGATCCTCCATGGTGTCTCTGGGGGCTGCAGGCTTGTGTCCCCATGGGAACAGGGGCACCGGGAGGACAGGGCTGCTGTGGCCGGTCTGGGAGCCAAGCCCAGAGCTGAGGGACCTTCAGGACCTTCTTCAGAGCTGTTTCATGGAAAGCAGTTTAAAATGGTTTTTGCTGCCCTGGCCGGTTTGGCTCAGCAGTCAGAGCGTCAGCCCATGGATTGAAGAGTTGTAGGTTCAACCTCTGGTCAAGGGCATGTGCCTGGGTTGCAGGTTCTATCCCCAGTCCTGGTCGGGGTCTTGCGGGAGGCAACTAGTTGATGTGTCTCTCTCACGTCATTGTTTCCCTCTCTCTCTCTCCCCCTCCCTCCCTTCCACTCTGTCTAAAAATCAGTGGAAAAATATCCTCAGGTGAGGATTAACAACACAATAAAATAAATAAAATAAAGCAAAACAAAATGGCTGTTGCCCGGTGGGACCACTGGATTTCCTCTCCTTCTTCCTACGAGAAGGCTTTGAGTGGGCTCAGGCCTCGGAACGGAGGAGGAAGCCGCATGGGGGCCGGGGGCTGAAGCCGGAGCAGCACAGCCCTGTGCTGGCCACCATTTGTATTTAGGCAAAAACAAACTTCTTAGGTTCACTGCCTAATTCTAAGCAAAACCGATTGATCATCAACACAACAGGCATCCTGATCTGCCCCCCTTCCCCAGCAGCAGCCATGGGGCCATCCCCAACTCAAACCCACCGGAAGCTCATTGGCCCCTTTGTCTGAGGCCAAGGCTTGGCATGGCCTCTGGGTGTTGCCTCCATCACCACCCCTCCCCTGCTGCTGCCATGAGTCCCTCCCCCGTCTACCTGGAGACATCTCTCTCTCTAACCCCTTTTCTCCCCCTCTCAGGGCACCTTTCTGCCCCCTTTCTCCTGACCCACCTCAAACAGCACCTCCTTTTTGATGCCCTCCCCAGTCCAGCTACCTGCCCTACCTCGATCCCATGATCTGGCCCTCTGGGTGCTTTGTCTTCTGCTCCCCGACCCCAGCCACCACCACCTGCAGCCCCCTGTGGGCAGGGCCTGTGCCTGTGCGCCACAGTCCCCCTCCTGTTCCCCGGATGGATGGACTGGCGTGGCTCTCCTTGTTCCCAGGTGCTTCCTCATACCTCACGAGCCTGAGAACCCCATCTCCAGAAACGAGGGTGGGGGCTGAGCGTGTAAATGGCAAAACCAGGCCCAGAACCCAGCGCGTCTCCTAGGGAGTCCGAGCACTGGCTGTGGGCCCTGTCCCCTCCTGGGCCCTGTCCCCCTTCCACCTTGCCCGTCCCCAGAGCCCCAGAGCTCCCTGGATGGTGTGTCCACTCACGCAGGCCCGGGAGCAAAGATGGCAGAGGACGGAAGGCTGAGTTGCCCGAGGCGGAAGGGGCGTGGAGAACCGCAGGCCCCCTGTAGCTGCTGGATTGTAGGACTGTGGCCGTCACGTCTGGGGAGGGTGCTGAGCCCCAGCGGTGTGCCCGCAAGGCTTCCAGCTGTGGCTCAGTTGGTGGAGATGCCCTTCCTGGCTCCTGGTTCAGGAGGCCTGGGCTGGCTGTGCCCTCCCTCCGAGTTCCAGCAGCCCCAGGGAACCGCCCCGCGCCACACCCTCTTCCTGGAGCAGACCTGGGGGTATGGGTGCAGGGTGAGCTGTGTTCCCCTCAGGGCGGGCAGCACGCGTGCGGTGGGTGGAGGAGCACAGTCAGGTATGGGGCAGAGACCTGTCGGGGGAGCTGGGCCTTGTCCCCTGGCCGCCCCTGACCCCGACATTGAGAAGAACCTCAAGAGGATCCCCTGTCTCCTGAGCATCCATCTCCCATTAGTCTTCTGTTAACAGGTCACTCCTACCCCCAAAGTTCAGTGGCTCCCAGAGGTAGGGCCGTGGTGCTCAACCCTGGCTATAGAGGCTCACCCCGGAGCATTCCCTAGTCCTGATGCCCAGGGCCACCCCTTGGAAACTCGTGAGATTGATCTGGGTGGGGTCCAGGCTTCTGCACGTCTGGGTTGGGAAGCCAGCCTACAGGGTCGGCTTCCATCACTGGGTGCTGGCCCAGTTCCCCTTCTTGTCCCCTCACATCCTCGTTCCAACCAGGCCGGCCCCTTTCTGGTGGCTCCTTGCTGGGCCCCATCCTTACCTCTGGGCCACCCCATCTGGGGCTCGCTGTCCCCTTCCAAATCCAGCCTGGCCCTCACAGCCCGCCGAGTCCGCGCTCCCTGGGGCCACTTTTCACTGCCCGCTGGCCCTGCCCCTTCCCTCTGCGGCGGCGCGTCTTCGTCTTGCGGAGCCTCGCCCCGTGGCCTGCGGTGCTCTGTCGCCAGCCTTGGAGCGGGTGACGGCTGGGATCTGAGGCTGTCTGCACACTGGTCCGCCTCTGATCCTGAACCATTTGAGAAACAGGCAAGAAGTCAGTTAGAGACAGTGCTGGGGTTTCCCCCTCCCCAGGCAGAGAGGAGCTCACCCCGAGGTTCCCCCTCCCCAGACAGACAGGAGCTCACCCCGAGGTTTCCCCCTCCCCTGGCAGAGAGGAGCTCACCCCGAGGTTTCCCCCTCCCCAGGCAGAGAGGAGCTCACCCCGAGGTTCCCCCTCCCCAGACAGACAGGAGCTCACCCCGAGGTTCCTCCTCCCCAGGCAGATGGGCTCACCCCGAGGTTTCCCCCTCCCCAGCAGAGAGGAGCTCACCCCGAGGTTCCTCCTCCCCAGGCAGACAGGGGCTCACCCCGAGGTTTCCCCCTCCCCAGCAGAGAGGAGCTCACCCCGAGGTTTCCCCCTTCCCAGGCAGAGAGGAGCTCACCCCAGCAGCCGCAGGCCGGGGAGCCCCGGCTGAGGGAGAGGGTCCAGGTTGTGTCCACAGGTCATGGCCCTGAGAGCTGGCCCCCTTCCCAGGCCACTGATCAGAGACCTCAGATGCACCCCTCCCCGAGGGAGGCCCAAGGGCTTGGGAGAGAGGAGCCACGAGTCTTCCCTCTAGTCCTGGGAGGGTGGGGCCGGAGGAGAAGACGTCTCCACTCACAGGAGTTGGCAGAAAGGGTCCTTCCTAGTGGTTAGAGCTGCGTGTCCAGTGTCGAGCCCATGGGGCCTGCCCCGGGCCTCTCCACAGCTCAGTCATGATGGAGGCTTGAACGGACCTTTCTCACGGCAGCCCGTCCTCGTCTGGTCGCCTTCAGAACGGGACGGTGGTTATAATTTCACAGTGAGGAGCTGGGGGTGGAGGGAGGCAGATGACCTGTCCACACCGTCCCAGTAGGAAGTGGGTTTCCGACGCCCCTGCCTCCCTGGTGCTGAGGGTGGCAGAGGGTGCGTGTGAGTGTGTGTGCTGGGGTTTGTGTGGTGTGTAGGGTGTGTGAGTGTGTATGGCGTGAGTGTATGTGCTGTGTGTGAGTGTGCTGTGTGTGCTGTGGGATGCATGTGCCTGTGGTACATGTGGGGTGTATGTCTGTGAATAAAGGTGTGTGGTGTGTATATGTGTGATGTGTGTGAGTGAGTGTGTTATGGTACATGTGGGGTATGTGTATGTGTGGTGTGTGGGTGTATGTGGTACGTGTGTGTAGGGTGTATGTGTGTGTGTGGGGTGTGAGTGTATGTGGTATGTGTGTGGGGTGTATGTGTGTGATGCGTGAGTGTATGTGGTGTGTGTGTGGTATGTGTGGGGTGTATGTGTGTGAGTATGTGGTATGTGTGTGGGGGTGTGTGGGGTGTATGTGTGTGTAGTGTGAGAGTGTGGTACATATGGTGGAGTATATGTATGTGTGGTGTGTGGGTGTATGTGGTACGTGTGTGTAGGTTGTATGTGTGTGTGTGGGGTGTGAGTGTATGTGGTATGTGTGTGGGGTGTATGTGTGTGATGCGTGAGTGTATGTGGTGTGTGTGTGGTATGTGTGGGGTGTATGTGTGTGAGTGTATGTGGTATGTGTGTGGGGGTGTGTGGGGTGTATGTGTGTGTAGTGTGAGAGTGTGGTACATATGGTGGGGTATATGTATGTGTGGTGTGTATGAGTGTGTGGGATATGTGTGTATGGGTGTGTGTGTGGTGTGTGAGTGTATGTGGTACATGTGTGTGTGGTGCGTGTGGGGTGTATGTGTGTGGGGTGAGTGTGTGGGGTGTATGTATGTGGTGTGAGTGTGTGTGGTGCGTGTGGGGTGTATGTGTGTGGTGTGAGTGTGTGGGGTGTATGTGTGTGGTGTGAGTGTGTGTGGTGCGTGTGGGGTGTATGTGTGTGGTGTGAGTGTGTGGGGTGTATGTATGTGGTGTGAGTGTGTGTGGTGCGTGTGGGGTGTATGGTGTGAGTGTGTGTGGTGCGTGTGGGGTGTATGTGTGTGGTGTGAGTGTGTGTGGTGCGTGTGGGGTGTATGTGTGTGGTGTGAGTGTGTGGGGTGTCCATGTTGAAGCCTGCGCTGACTCCCGCCATCCTGCAGGTAAAAGCAGCCAAATCGGAGCAGGAGGCCCGGAGGCTGCAGCTGCGGAGCCTGCAGTACCTGGAACGCTACGTGTACCTGGTGCTCTTCAACGCTTACCTCCACCTGGAGAAGGCCGACTCCTGGCAGAGGCCTTTCAGCACCTGGATGCGGGAGGTGAGGGCGGGAGGCCCGGCAGGCGGGAGGCCGGGCTGCCTGGCCGGGCCCCTGTTGAGCGGGAAGCCGCCTCATCTCTCACTCTTCTGTTTGGCTGAGCCTTGTCTTGGTTGGCCTTGGGTCCCCCGCACAGTGTCTGCGCTGGGCAGGCAGTAAGTGGGGTGCGGGAGCGAGTGCATGCAAGCATGAGGAGGGCGGAGACAGGATGTGGGGAACAGACAGGCCGTGTGCCAGGCTGGGCCCCTGCCCTGTGTGTCCCCAAGGCCAGTGTTGCCTGGCCTCTTCATTCCCATCATGTCACCTACTCTGCAAAGGGCGAGGTGGCATGCCCAGCCCCTGCCACCTTCCATTGCGACCTTGGACAAGTTAGTTAGCCCCACTGCCCTCAATTACATTGGACATAATGTTGATACTGTTGGCACCACCTCAGAAGGTGGCGAGGGTTCCATGAGCTACGCAGTTCAATCGCCAGACCCTGTGCTAAGCAGGTCTGCCTCACATGGCGGCTGTTGCTCTCCCATTTTACAGAGGAGCAGACTGAGCATAGACGGGTTAAGTTCCTTGTTCACAGTCAGCATTAGAGCCAGCTGGTGGGCTCCAGAGCCCCCCGTGTCTGGCCTAGGACACCCTCGAGTCCCACCTCTCTGCTTGGCCTCCCAGCTCTTCCTCATTCTTCCTTGGGCTCAGCTGGTTTAGAGACAGAGCTGCCACCCCGTTACCCCCTCTTCGGCAAAGCGGCCTGTACTCACCCCCCACCAGGTCGCTGGCCCCCCCTGACCTTAGCGCCTGGCCTGGCGGCTCTAATCTGGAGTCTGCATGTGCCCCCACGGGCGGGCGGGCGGGGAAACAGGAAGCTGGGACCCCAGCCGGAGAGGGTGTCGGAAGGGCACGGGCTGACGCGGGGCTGTGTGGGGGCAGCTGTGAGGCACCGGCGGGGAGGCCACCGCAGTGGCAGGGATAGTGGCTGCTGGGCCGTGTGCTGAAGGAAAAGCCTTGCGCGTGGCCCTCGGGTGGATGAGTGTTGAGTCAGGACACCTGCTGGGGTGTGGGTCACACCAAGGCCATGCTGGGTTCACCCTCATGAGCAGGCCTGGGCTCATCTTCCTCCTTGAGCCCCTGGGAAGGATGGAGGTGTTGGGGGACACAGGGCACTTCTGCTTGGAGAGAGGAAATCAGGGGAGCCAAGGGCTGGGGAGGAGCTTAATCCCCTCCCCAGCTGAACCTGGGTGGCGGATGTTGGGGAAAGTCAAGGAAGCAGAGAACTGGGGGGTCCAGTTAGGAGTGTGGGGTTCTAGCCTCAGGGCCCCTCTCTCCTGGGGATGAATGGCAGTGGGGGTGAGGGTTACTTGGGGACCTTTATTCTGAGTGGATCCTGCTCTTCCCCACCCCCAGGATGGTGGGGTGAGAAGGGGGTTCTTTGTCGGATGGATTGGGTCTAGTGTCAGGGCCTGGGCCACTGGGCACCAGAGCTGTGTAGTGTCCAGGGAGGCCCCAGGGAACCGACCCGCGGGGAGGCCCGCCCGGAACCCACGGCCAGAGGCTCCTGCTGGCTCCGAGTTCGCGCTGCCCTCCTCAGCCCTCCCCGCGCCCAGCGCAGCGCCGGGGCCTGGGGGACGCCCTGCCGTCCACTGCGGAGTGCTTCCCTGCTTGTGTGGCCCCGGTGGTCCTGCAGGCAGAGGCCGTTGCCCCCAGTACGAGGAAGTGGAAGCTCGGAGTGGTCAATAGCGGTCAAAACGCAAACTTGTTCAGTTCGCTGAGCTGGTAGGAGGCAGCCCTGGGCCCCAGACTCAGTTGTGTGCTTCGAAGCCCAGAGAGAAGGAAGGCACGGAGGGGGCAGCGGGACCCGAAGGACACCCTCCCCCCCTGGAGGCCGCCCCATCTCCTCTGCCATCCTCTCCAGGTGGCGTCGAAGGCCGGAGTCTACGAGATCCTCAACCGGCTGGGCTTCCCCGAGCTCGAGAGTGTGGAGGACCAGCCCTTCTCAAGGCTGCGCAGCCGGTGGCAGGAGCAGAGCCACAGCCTGGAGCCCCTCGCTGCCGGGGACTTCCTGTAGGAGGCTTCCCCTGCGCGTCCCCTCCCGCACGGCCCCACGGGGGCTGGGGGGTCTGAGGTGCTCTTCGCCGAAGGGGCCCCGAGCTGATAGTTCCCCAGCTTCCCAGAGAGACTGGGACTGGGTTGGGACCTCTTTTTTGAAAGAGCTTTTTATAGGACAGTTAGCACCCAGTCATACCTTGTAAATGACAGGCGTGGGAACAGCCGCGGGGAGGGCCCGGTGTGGACGCCTTGCAGACGGGTGGCGTCAGCCCTCCAAGGAGCTCGCTCCTCAGGTTGCCAATCAAAGCTACTTGTCACCTCCACTGCCACCTCTCCTCCCTGTCAGAGCAGGTCTGACCACCCTGGCACAAAGCATCCGGCCAGCGTCGCTTTCCGTTTCCTCCTCTTTCCGTCCTTCCCTGCTCTCCTCCGTGGCTTCTCCCCTGCAGCGCCTGAGCGCCCCCCGGCCCTGGGGAGCAGACCGCACTCTGGGTGACTTCAAAGGCAGCTTTACCTAGTTTCCTTGCTTCTCATGCCTTGTCTCCATCCTGGAGACTTCCCGAAGTCTCCACATGGCCTCTGCCTCTCCTCCCTTCCCCCTCCCTTCCCCCCCCCCTCCCCTGGGGCTGGCAGGGCCGTGGAGTTTTCGAAGGAGCTGGAACTATCAGGGAGCCCCTCAGGGGAAGGGGTCTCCAGAAGGCGGATGTGGCGGATGTGGCCCCGTGGAAGAAGCCAGCTCCATTTCCTGGGAGCCCAGGTGGGAGGTGCTGAGGAGGCCGGAGCACTGGGGTCACCCCACACCTCCCTGCCCCACCAGCCCAGGCGGCCCCGGGCCCCCACCTCTGCAGCAGGAGCTTACGGGGGTGCTGGGCGAATGAGGGAACAGTGGGAACAGTGTGAAAGCTGCTCAGGCAGGAGAGGCAGGCGGTGCTGGGTTGCAGCTCTTCTCCGGGGCCTGGTGTCTGCCGAAACCCAGGGCTGACCTGTGGGGAGGCCGTCCGCCCGGCCTGGCTCGTTGGGGCCAGGGGGCCTCTCTTGGTTGAGTACATGCGCTTCTGTGGAAAAACAGGTGGTTGTGTTCCTGGTCTAGATATTTGAAAAGGGGAGAAGAGGCTGAAGTTGTTCATATCTACCTAGTATTGGAAAACATTTGACCACCTTGGCTGATTTCTTTTTGCAGAACTACTGTATGTCTGTCACTACCTTTCCAGATTTGTTGTTTTTGTTTTTATTATTTTTGCATGTATTAAAAATATTAATTTGTTTGCAGACAAGGTCTAGGTGAGGGGTCAGAGATCGGGGCTGAACTGGGAGGGAGCCTTTGTGTTCTCATGGTTGGCCCTGACTTTCAGCTGTGCTGGGACCACTGGCCAGTCCCGTCACTGCTCTGCCTCAGTATCTCCATGTGTAAATGGGAGAATAATACTTGCCTACCTACCTCACAGGGGTGTTGTGAGGATTCATTTGTGATTCTTTTTGTACAGAGCTTTTGAGCATTAAAAACAGCTAAATGTGATTTGCACCTGGCTGCTGATTTGTCTTTAGTGTGAAGCAGGTGTTATAGAACTGATACAATTTGGGGTCTCTGCTCCTTCTGAGTAAGAGTAAGTGGGCAGGGTGGGAAGAGAGCATCTATCCCTAGTGCTCCCCAGTCTCAGAAAAGGTGTTTTTCCCCCAGACATGCCTCTCCTTCTTTCACATTTCCAATTGCGCCTTACCATTTCACTCAGGATGCCCAGGGCTATCGTGCTGAGCCCCTCCTTGAGGAAAGAATCATAACAGGCTAATTCATACTAAAGTGTGAAGGACTGCTGTATCTAGGGAAATTAAACAAGGCGAAGTTTCAGGAGCTATGAAGGAGGGTGGACCTCGACCTCCATTTTTTCCCCCTGCCAGGTTCTGCTTGGCCCCTTCAGGCCCCCGGAGGCTTGAACACATTGGGATTGAGAGATTGTTGAGGCAGTGGGGAGAGCGAGGCAGAGAGAGCACTGATCCTGGCTTCCACCCAAACACTTCTAGGATCAGGGGAGCAAGGCCCTGTAGGATGTAGTTCCGAGGTCAGCTGAGGGGTGGTGAGACTGGAACTCAGAGCCCTCATTGAGCTAGAGTTGGTCATCTTTCCAGGCTGGCAGGGAAGGTCTCCTGGGGTTATATCTTAGTACAGCAGGAAACATTATTTCCTAGAATGCGCTGTGTGGTTTTTGAGTGCCAATGTAGAGGTGTGTGCACTCAGGTGTGTGTGGGTGTGGCAGTTCTCACTTCTCTGCCTCGGATGAGGGGGTCTGGGTGGGGATACACAGGAGTGGGCAGCGTGTTCATGGGCGTGTCCCCCAAGCTCCCCAGCCTGCTCCAGCCTTGGAGGGCATCTAGCAGTGCCAGGGGCAGTGCTGGGTGACGTTTCAGTAGCTCCTCTGGTCATTGGCACCTGAAGCCTCTGATACTTGGGAGCAGCGCTGACACATGGTAAGCACGTAGTCAGTTTTAACCGCCTTGGAAAGGTCTCTCCAAGCCCTTGCTCAGCAGCAGTCCCCCGTCTGCTCATGACTTGTCCAAAGCCACACAAACCTTGACAAATGTGTATACCTGTGTAACCCAAACCCTGTCAAGATATGCAACCTGCCGGGCCGGTGTGGCTCAGTGGTTGAGCGTCGACCCATGCACCAAGAGGTCACTGGTTCCATTCCTGGTCAGGGTACATGCCAGGTTGTGGGCCTGATCCCTAGTGGGGGGCATACAGGGGGCAGCCAGTCGATGTTCTCTCTCATTGATGTTTCAATCTCTCTACCTCTCTCTCTCAAATCAATAAAGAAAAATAAATAAAAGATATGCAACCTTACATGTGGGTTATTATTATGATTTTTAAATCCTTACCCAAAGACAATTTTCTGTTGATCTTCAATAGAGTGGGAGGGAGGGAGGGAGAGAGAGAGAGACAGAGAGCACTAGAAACACCGATGTGAGAGAGACACACCGATTGGTTGCCTCTCACACTGTCCCAATTAGGGCCAGGACTGAACCGCAGCCGAGGTATATGCCCTTGACCAGAATTGAACCCACGACTCTGGTCCACAGGTCGACGCTCTAACTACTGAGCAAAACCGTCCAGGGCCATGTGGGTTATTTTTTATTTTGTTTTGTTTTAAATTCTTTTTTTCTTTATTGATTTTTAGAGAGAGAGGAAGGGAGAGGGAGAAAGAGATAGAAACATCAATGAGAGAGAACATTGATTGACCTGCATGCCCCCTACTGGGGATTGGGCCCGCAGCCTGGGCATGTGCCCTACCCGGGAATAGAACCAGTGACCTCTTGGTGCATGGGTGGACGCTCAACCACTGAGCCTCACCAGCTGGGCGTGTGGGTTATTTCTAATGGTAATTTTTTTTTTTATCCTCACCCGAGGACATTTTTCCATTTTTTGTTCAGATACAGTGGGGAGGAGAGAGAGAGAGAGGGAGAGGGAGAGGGAGAGGGAGAGGGAGAGGGAGAGGGAGAGAGAGAGAGAGAAACATCGACGTGAAAGGGACACATGAGTGGTCGCCACCCGCACTGAGCCAAACCATCCAGGGCTTAATGGTAAATTTTATAAACACAAATCTTTGTGTAGGTAATGGTTAGAACTTCTGGAATTGCATATCACTGAAAACAGCCCCTTTACCTTAAGCAGATACAGGGATTGTAGAAATGGTCAGTGGATGGAGCTCATGGAGCCCAGGGGACGACCAGAACTGGGAACTGGCCGGGACGCCCTCTCGGCATCCACGCGCGTGCACCACTCTGCCCGCTCAGGAGAACCTGCTACGTGAGCAGGTGACACACCTCCAGCTACTGCACCCTGGGATCTAACGCGTGCCGAGGCCGTGCTGCCCTCCAGGCCCCTCCCCTCCGACCTTGCTCCAGAAGGGAGAGTCCGTGACTTCTGCCATCCCTGTGCTCCTCCGCCCGGCACCTCCCGTGAGGCCTGCAGGTGGTCTGCCCGGAGCTCTTGAGGGCCTCGGGCAGTGTGGGGCTCTCCCTTCCTTCCACGGTATCAGCCGCGTCATGACCTGAGGCCCTTCCTGCCTTCTGCTTCCTCCTGTGCCCTCACGGAAGGCCCCCCACATAACCCTCCTGCACATCTCATCCCCTCTTGTCTGCTGCTCGAGGACCTGGACAGCACACCATCACTCTTGCTTCAGCCTCTCTGGGCCGCTGCTGTGTCCCTTCTGGGGAAGGTCAACTTTCTCTGTCACTACTTGGGGAAATGACCTCCTGGTTTCCAACGTCACATGCTACAGGTCTACCCAGACGAAGTTGTCCTCCTCCCTCTCGCCCTGTCGCCCATCTCAAGTGCAGGGCCACTGATCCTGTGGACTGTGACCAGAAGGGCAAGAAATTGCTGCTCAACCTTCCCTGTGGATGGAGGGGTGAGGAAGAGAGCTGGGTTAATACCCCCCAATCTGCGTGTGGCAGTGTAAACCTGGTATTTCCTAAATAAAGACAATGCCCTTGAAGGTTTTTGAGATGCACCTGTTGAGTCCTCCGGAAACGTCCGATTTCGCCATCAGGCACGGTCACCGGGCCCGCAGCTCTGGACTCCTGCCGGCACAGACTGCTGCATTCTAAAAAGGTTCTGGCCGGTTTTGTGGTTCAAAATGGAATCTCATACTTATTTAATTTTATATTTCTTTTAAATTAATAACGAGGCTGAACTGTTTTCACGTTTAGTGGCCATGTACATTGTTCTCTTTTACAGATTGTGTCCTCTGCTGACTTTTCCTTTGGGGTGTTTGTCTGTTTTCACTGATTTGTAAAGGTGGGAGCACGTTATTTCTCATATACGCTGCATCACTGTCAGCTTTATTTATTTTTCCTTTATTGATTTGAGAGAGAGAGGAAGGGAGAGGGAGAGCGAGAGAAACATCGATGAGAGAGAACATCAATTGGCTCCCTCCTGCATGCCCCCCACTGGGGATCAGGCCCACAACCTGGGCATGTGTTCTGACCGGGAATCGAACCGGCAACCTCTTGATGCACGGGTCGACGCTCAACCCCTGAGCACACCGGCTGGACTCATTGTCAGCTACAAAACATCATCAGACACACGTGCTCCCTCAGAGCCTGTCCTCTCCATTCTCTCTCTGTGCCCTCAGTTTGCCTTGCGGCTGACCCGCTGCCAGACCAGCAACCTTTGCTTATTTTATTATGTTTTTTGTTAGAGTTCTTTGTTAGATGCTATAGTTAGAGTCATCTTCCCATTCAACGTTCCAACAGTACTGCAGGGTAAATATTATGATATCCATTTAAAGATGGGGATTCTGAGGTCCAGCGAGTGTCTGATTTCAAGTCGTAGCTCGTTTCAGAGGTGGACGTTGGAGTCCGCTCTGGTGCTGGAATCGTTTCTGACGTTTTCCACGACGTGGGAGACAAACGTCAGTGTTTCTGGAAAGGTGTCCTCGCTGCGGTGGGCTGGGGAAGGGAGAGATGAAAGCTTGTCCGCTGTGAAAACCCTCCCTCAAGGTCTTGTGGTTCTTGATGCTGTTCAAGCCCT